ACCATTTGAATACCTTGTTTGCCCAACTATCAGAGGCAGATTTCAACATAGTTGAAAATGAGCGTGCAGAGCTTCTACTTCAGAGTTTACCTGATTTGTATGATCAACTCATCATCAATGTTACAAATAATAATATTGGTGGGAATATACACTTTGAAGATGTCCCCGGAGCTATTCTTGAAGAAGAATCCAGGCAGATGAGTAAGGGTGAAAGTTTCAAACAAGCAGAGGCTTTGACAATGATGAGAGAAAAATCAACGGAACATGGCTCAAGTAAGAAGAGTTCTAAAATCAAATGTTACTTTTGTGGCAAGAAAGGACATACGAGAAAATAGTGTTGGAAGAGGAAGAATGGAGGAAACAATTATGAAGAATCAACCTCACAAGGTTGTGTTGTAAGTACTTCGGAAGATGCAGATATTCTGGTGAGTGAAGCAGTAATTAGCTCTAATGGTGAAAATGAGTTTCATGACAAGTGGATGGTGGATTCAGGTGCAACATGGCACATGACTCCGCACCGAGATTGGTTTCACACTTATGAACTATTCTCAGGTGGATCTGTCTTCATGGGAAACAACCATGCCTTGGAGATTACTAGAGTTGGTACTGTCAAAATTAAAATGTATGATGGTACTGTTCGCACAATTCAAGGGGTACGACATGTGAAGGACTTAAAGAATAATCTATTGTCCATTGGGAAATTAGATGACCTTGGGTGTAAGATCCATGTTGAAAATGGAATCTTGAAGGTGATGAAGGGGAGTTTAGTGGTCATGAAGGCAAAGAAGATTATGACAAATTTGTATGTGCTGTTTGGAGATACATTGCAAGAAGCGCATGCATCAGTTGCGGCAACAAGTCAGGAAGATGTAGTGATCATGTGGTATCATAGACTTGGTCATATGTCAGAACGTGGTCTGAAAATCCTTGCAAAATGTAATCTCTTACCCAGGCTTAAAGATGTTAGTTTACCCTTCTGCGAGCACTGTGTGATAAGAAAACAACATAGATTGAAGTTTGCTAGAGTGACTGATTTTCTTCATGGAGATCTTGGAGAGGAAATTTATATGCTCCAACCAGAAGGCTTTAAAGAACAAGAAAACTTGGTTTGCAGGTTGACCTCTATACGGTCTAAAACAGGTGCCTAAATGTTGGTATAAGAGATTTTATTCCTTCATTATTTGCCTTGGTTACAATAGACTGAGCTCAGACCATCGTACATACTACAATAGATTTAGTGATAATGATTATGTTTTCTTGTTATTGTATGTGGATGACATGTTGGTAGTAGGCCCCAACATAGATCGAATCCAAAAGTTAAAGGCGCAATTGACTAAGGAGTTTGACATGAAGGACTTGGGACTAGCAAACAAGATTTTAGGGATGCAAATTCACAGAGACAGAAAATATAGGAAGGTTTGGCTTTCTCAGAAGAATGACTTACTGAAAATCTTGTGGCACTTCAACATGCAAGATTGCAAGCTAATTTCTACCCCACTTCCTATCAATTGTAAGTTATCCTCAAGTATGAGTCATAGCAATGAAACAAAGATGATGGAAATGTCTCGAGTACCGTATGCATCAGCAGTGGGAAGTCTTATGTATGTCATGATTTGTACAAGACCAGACATTGCACAAGCAGTGGGAGTAGTTAGTAGATTCATGGGAAATCCTGGTGGAGAGCATTGAAGTGCTATAAAGAGGATCCTTAGATACATCAAAGGAACCTCAGGTGGTGCATTATGTTATGGAGGATCAGAACTAGTTGTTAGAGGCTATGTTGATTCAGATTTTGTAGGTGATCTGGATAAAAGGAGATCTATTACTGGTTATGTGTTTACAATTGCAGGAGGGGTAGTAAGTTGATTATCCAAGTTACAAGATGTTGTAGCTCTGTCTACCACAGAAGCTGAGTACATGACAACCACCAGGCATGTAAGGAAGCTATTTGGATTAGGAAGATAATTGAGGAACTCAGGCACATGCAACAAAAAATTGTCGTGTATTGTGACAGTTAGAGTGCCTTGCACATTACAAGGAATCCAACCTTTCATTCCAAGACAAAGCACATAGGAATAAGATATCATTTTGTTCGAGAAGTAGTGGAAGAGGGTAGTGTGGATATGCAAAAGATTCACACAGATGAGAACCTAGCAGATGTTATGACAAAACCGGTTAGTGTTGACAAGTTTTATGGAGTCGATCCTACTATGGCCTAGCGGAAAAATAAGCAACATGGATGTTAAGAATAAAGCAAGCATGGTGTGAAGTGCTTACCTTATAAGATGTACCAAAATCACTTCCTTTTCTTTCTCTTGTTGTTTTAGTACTTGAGAGATAAATTAAGAGAGAAAAATAGTTTCTCCTTTTAGGTTCTCTTAGAGTTGTTTTTCCTTTATTTTTAGGAGAGGGTGTTATTGTTTCCTCCTTGGAGGTGGAGAGAGAAGAGTTGTAATTTCTTTCATCAGTGGAATTACTTTTTTGCCTATTGTTGGTGTTTTTCTCATCTTTTTATTTTAGTTATGTGTTTATTCTTTTGTCTGATACCTAACATGGGATAAGTGTTAATAAACATATTAAATTATCCATATGATTGAGAGCCTTCAAAGTCCAAGCACAATGATACAATTATGAGAGACATACTTTACCATTAAGTTAATAACTCATCATGCACTACTAGAAAAATGGTTAATAGTGACCGAAATTAGTGACCGAAAAATTCGAGTTACTAACGATAACTAAATCGATGGATCGATTTTTCTTTTTATATTTAGTGACTCGATTTAATGACTAAAATTTCGAGTCACAAAATAAATTATCTCTAAATTGGTGACTATTTTTCATTTATATAAATATTTTTTAAAAATATTTTAATAATATATTAAATATAAATCTACTTAATAACTTAAAATAATTAATAACATTTTTAATAACATTATAAAAAATTTTAAAAATAGTTTACTAACTTATTAAATAATTTAGTAATATAATTATTTGATTTTATTTTTTAATTTAGCATGTGAATAAAAAAATTAAAATTAATTATTAAATTAGTCACAGAACTAGTTACTTGATTCGGTCATCGATTCGATCACTGATTCGATTCTGAGATCGGTCACACTGATTCGATCATCGAATCGGTTGGTGACTAATTAATAAATTGATATTTTAAATTTATATTAATATCTTGGATAATTTAATTATTGAATATATATTTTAAGTTTATATTAGTTATTTTAATATAAAATGTAAGGATTATGTAAACTTTAATTAAACATAATAATATAATATACTATTAATCATATTTTAAGTTAGAAATTAATTTTAAGTTTTATTGTATTTATTTGAAAAAAACCAGTTAAAAAAATTCAAAATAATTAAAGTAAAAAATTTCAATTTAATAAATGTGTTAATGTTATTAGTTATTAGAGAATTAAACTTATAATAATAATTATATAAAATTAGAGAATTGATGAAATTTAAATTATTTGTAATTTTTTAATTAAATATAAATAATTTCAAATAAAAACATAAGATTTAATTATTAAGTTAAAATTCAATAATATTAATAAGTTAAAATATATATTACTTAATTATTTTAATTAAAATTAATTTCATAAAAAAAATAATATTTGAAAATATGAAAAAAATAATTATCCTAATTCTCATTCACTACTTTCACTTCTCCCTCACTGCTTTCCTTTCTCCCTCGTTCTTAATCTCCGTCGGCTTCCATTCCCCATTGCCAGCCACCCTCACTAATCAACCACCCAACTACACCCACCCGCACCACCCGCACCACCCGCACCACGTTGTCATGCTCTCAACCATTCATCTCACCCTAGCTCACCGTCACCACCGCATCATTCACCATTCCTCTTTCCCTGTCCTTGCTCCTCCGCACCCTAAATAACCAACACCCACCCCATTTCTAATTAACCCATTCTCCCCTCAGATCCGGTCACCACACACCCACAAGCACTACCGCAGCCAAGCTCCACCGTCTCACCTCATCCATTCTTGCCCATTTTCCTCTGATTCAATAGCCCAAGCCTCCCAGCTCGTGCCTCCAGCGGATTCGCCTTCGCTCGCTGTGCCCAAATCGCCACCGCGTGTCATTCTCGCCAGCCACCGCACCAACCCTAACCAGCTCCGCCAGCAGCCATCGCGACGCCCTTAGCGGCTACCGTGAATCCAAATTTCATGCATGACGTTGCAAGGAACAACTCTGATATGTATGTTCAAATTGCAATCAATCTCTGTTTCATTTTTCTTTTTTGACCTTTATCACTAGTTATGTCTAATAATGCTATTAGAAGAAGTATACGGATGCATTAGTGTATGTATTAGGGCTTTATGAGCGATATCTAATATTTGGGATTTTTCTATTTAGGTGCTGAGGTTAAGTTTGGAGAGTCTGTTAAGGGAGACCCAGCTGAATTTGAGGCATGCATACACCTTTCTCAGGTTAGGGTTTTCATGGATGCTATGTGTTGTTGTACTTTTATGTATGTCTAGACAAAAATTTCTGAATTGTTGTTGTGTAGGCTGCTCTTGGTGAGGCAAAGAAAGGCAAAGCAAATGAACCTGTGGTTGTATACTTGAAAGTTGGTGAACAGAAATTTGTCTTGGGAACCCTCTCCAGGGATAAAATCCCTCAAATATCTCTGGAATTGGTCCTGGAAAAGGAGTTCGAGCTTTCCCACAGTTCAAAAAATGTCAGCGTTCATTTTTGTGGATACAAGGCATATTACTCTGGCGATGAATATCCTGGGCACTACTAATCTGTTTTGACCTTTTTAATTTTTTGTTTTTAAATTAATATATTAATGTTCGTAGTTTACGTGGAGGAGCTGTTTTATCCAAACGATGAGGATATTCCATTGTTGTTAGTTGTATGAGAATTATAATACTATTTGGTAGTTTTGGAGTGAGGCTTTTTCAAAGCGGATTGCCACCACAATTGTTGTTGCAATCTTATTTGTTTTACCATTATTGTAATGGTATAATAGCCATAATTGCAATTACATTGAGCGCATTTATCATAATTTTCCCCAGTATGATAGATTGCAAGGAATGCCATGAACTGTTTCTTTTGCTTTGGTTTAAGTTGTGCTTGTTTGTTTTGCAGATCAAAGTGGACAAGCTTCAGTTAATTGAGCTCTGTGGTGTACATCTGAATCTGAGTTTTCTAGTGTAAGTGGTTGTATGTTTAGTGAATGTTGAATTTGTGATGATTTTATTGAATTCTTTATTCGTAGAGTTGTTATTGATTTTAAATGGGTTGTGAATGGCCTGCTGTAGGTTCCTGCTACTATGAAGGATTTGTGTCATGACGTATTTGGGGTTGCAAAGGAAAAGAAGGATGCTAGGGAAGTGCAATCAAATCGAGGTATAACCTTTCCCTATTAGGTTGTTGATCATGATCCATTTCTTAATGTGAACAATTCTGCCCATTATTTTAAGATGCACTTTGCATTAAGCGTTTTTTCCCCCGTTTTGTGAAGATTTACTTGATGCCTTGCCAAATAAGAGGAAAGTTGAGGAAGGAGGTTATTTGTAATTGGACAGATAGCGATGAGGATATTCCATTGGTTAACACAGAGAATGGTACCTGCTTCTTCTTGATACTAATTTATTATTGGCTGGGTATGCCATGGTAACTACATGAATCTGAAGATGGAACAGAAGTTGGCTTCACAAGAAGAGATGTTTATCTTCATTCTTTTAAAATATAAATTGAATATTTGTTGTGTTCATTTAATTTTATTTTAATATATTTTTTATGTTTATTTTGAATTTTTAATATATAAAAGTCTAGTTATCATGTGGAGAATTGTCTAATTTTAATAATATTTAAATTAATTTTGGTGTGATATATATATATATATATATATATATATATATATATATAAAATAAGAGGTTTATTAAAAAAAGAAAATTTAGTGAATTGATATTTTATTTTAAAATTAATTATTAATTTGGTTACTTGATTCGATCACTGATTTGGTCGTTGATTCGGTCACTAAAATCAGCGACCAAGAAAATAATGACCGATTTCGAGTTGGTTATTATTTCGGTCACTATTTTAATTAGAGACCAATTTTGGTTATTTAGTGACCGAATTTTCGATCACTGTTTAGTATTTTTCTTTTAATGATGCAAGCCTTTCGTCGGGTTCACTATGCCAAAAGCAAGAAAAATCTCATCCTTTTCTTTTCTTTTTTTCACCCCATTCATGTCACCCTATGTGATAACATGGTTCATCTAAGTTAATTTGAATAGTTTTCATGTATTCCTAATTTAATTTTAAAAATTTATTCTATAAAATTTTAAAATTTATGATTTTCACATTCATATAAATCATTATAAAAAGATACTAATCTTAATAAATGAAAGATTCAATAAAAATATTTTTTTTTAATTTATCTCTGTATTTTTCTTTCTTTTCTTCTCTTATGGTTACCCTTGAGAAAACTTTATAGTAAAATCAAAACTTTTGCTTTTTTTTATATCATCAGTTATCATCAATTTCAAAACATAATTTTTAATATTATTCACTAAATTGGATAACACCATATATTACCTAGAAATAACTCCATGTATTATATACTAAATTAGTTATTGTTAATTTTTAAAACCTTTTATAATATGAATTGTATAATTAAAGTAATTAATTCTAACAACACAATAAATTATTCTGAAACTATTATAACAAAATAGTAATTTTATCATGGTCTGTCATTTATTGTCATATGTTATATAAGAAAATAACGAGACTAACAATAAGGAACACTACTACAAAATATGTTTTTTATGTCGTCATTTAATGTTGGTTAAAATTGTGGTGACATTGAATATAATTTCAACGTAAATTGGTTAAAAAAACAATGTTGAAGATTGAATTTTGAACACATTTTACGTCAGTTTTTAATCAACTGACATAGAAACTACTTTTTACATCGGTTCCCAGATAAACCGATGTGGAAAGTCTTTATATTTTAAAAAATAATTAAAAAAATTGACACACTTTCTACATCCGTTCTAATTGTAACCGATGTAGAAAGTGTTTTTACTTTTAGAGAATTGTCACTGGCAAAATTCGAACCTAGTACCTTAAAGTCGAAGATTTTCCGATAATAACTTATAAGTAAATTATATTTATATACAAATAAATGTATATTCATGTAAATATATAAATATAAAAAATATAAATACAAATATATTTATATATTTTAATATATTTATATAGTTATATATTTATATATTTATATGCTTGGATGTGAGGGTGTGTTTGAGGGTGATAGTAGGAATGACTCTCGCTTGAGCGAAAATACGTTAAAGATCACTGAAATTCACTCGCTCAAGCGAAAATATCTCGCTTGAGCGAATGACGCGTTTCCCAAATTTATTTTATATCATTATATAAATAAATTATAAAGATTATATTCTGTCATTAAATTACAAACTCATATAAAGAGATTCACTCACAAATTTGACATCAAATTTTGAAAACCCACTCGACACACACTTTCCACTACTAGAAAACTAGTTTTTTTCTGCCAATTTTTTTGCAAAAAATTGTTTAAATTTATAGAAAACTTATTTCTTGCAATTTTTATCAAAATTTTGCAAAAATATTCCCATGAAAAATGAGAATTTTTAGTAGTTTCACTTTCGAGGTACCCTCACATCCAACATATAAATATATAACTATATAAATATATCAAAATATATAAATATATTTGTATTTATATATTTTATATTTATATATTTACACGGATATACATTTATTTGTATATAAATATAATTTATTTGTAAGTTATTATTAGAAAATTCTAATAGTTTAGTGGTTGGATTATCAGCATCTAACTCTAAGGTACTCGGGTATAATAAATAATAAAAATATAATATAAAAGGGAGGGGGACCTCTAGATAAATAAAGGGTTTGTGTAAATAAATAAAAATTATCGATATGTAAAGGAGAGGGAGGATCTCTAGATAAATAGAGGATTTGTAAATAAATAAAAATTATCGATCTGTAAAGGAGAGGAAAAACCTCTAGATAAATAAATAAAAATTATCAATTTAAAAAGTCAGACTTTTCACATCGGGAGGGGAAACTTCTAGATAAATAGAGGGTTTGTAAATAAATAAAAATTATCGATATAAAAAGTCAGATTTTTCACATCGGTTATTTTATCTGGACTTCTAAAAAATATAATATAAAGGGGAGGGGGACCTCTAGATAAATAAAGAGTTTGTACAATAAATAAAAATTATTGATTTGAAAAGTCAGACTTTTTACATCGATTATATAAAACTGTTATTGAAGGTCTTTCATAATCATTTTAAAATTATCGATATGAAAAGTCATATTTTTCACATCGATTGTAATAATGGAATAAGTTACTCAATTTTTCTATTTTTACCAAATGTGAGACTTCAAACTTACACTTAAATTCACTAACAGAAAATACAAATTTTTTTTCATGTATTTTTAACGGTAAAGCATTTATTTCCAAGGAGTTTTCGTTATGTGTCTTGATTAGTTAAGTTGTAAAGAATGGTGTATACATGAAACCATTGCAAATATTAAACTTTTCTTTGAAGAAAAGAAGGAAAGGAATCTGCATATAATGTAAAGTTATGTGAAAAAGAAAACTGGAAATGCCTGAGCTGTAAAGACACGTTTTCTGGGGCCTATTTTGCAAAATTGGATAAGCAAAGTCTTAAAAAATGGGGCCAATAATTTCACATTTATATATTCTTCCCCAAAAGTTAAATATAAAGGAGCATAATATAATATACATGAATTTAGATAATGAAGATGCTAAAATTACGCGCCAGTGTTGATTATTTTCTTCATTTTAGAAATACCAAATCATCTTACACAACTCTCAACTTATCCGAAAAGATTCTGCAATCTTTAAAAATTGACCTTAAAAGCTACTCTCATACGAACTTTCCTGCTCAGAATTTCTGAAAAATCGAAAATAAATTTCTATATTTTTTTACTCAATTATCATTATTTTAAAAATTATATACCATACAGTTTTTTTTTATTTCCACTAATTTTACCGAAATTTGTTAACCGAATGACATGCCATGAGAAATAAAAAAGTCAAAATGACATCATTTTATAAAAATTTGTAATAAAATCACGTCATTTTGTTTTTTAAAATTTGTAATAAAATCACGCCATTTTGATTTTTAATTTTTTTAATAACATATCATCACTTTATTAAAAAATTATGATTAAATAACTGTTTTCCAATATTTTTTCACTTTTTTCAATTTTATTTCACTATTATTTTAACCTTTTTTTCATTTTTTTCTTAAAATAAATCAATATGATTTCTTTTAAAATAAGTGTATGTGATTTATATCACATAATATATATATATATAACTAAATTAAAATTGAACGAAATTGATGGAATGAATCATATTAATTCATTTTAAAAAATAAATCAAATTAACATTAGAAATAAAAGATTAAATTGAGATTTAAAAAAATAATAAGAAGAACTTAAAAAAAATCAGACAAAGTTATTTAGACAAAAATTAATAAATCATTAAAATATGCAAAAAAAAAAGAATTTATACTAAAAATGTGAAAAAAAGTATTAGTAAAGACAACGTAGACTGACTAACTTATTTAACAACTACTGATAAATCATAATCATTTATATAATTAGAACTAAGTTTACATATTTTAACAATATCAAAACGTCATTAAAATAAAGTAATTATTAACGAAGTTAAGCACAAATATCATAATTAAATTAAAAAAAATAAAAACTATTTGGACCTGTTAGATGGGTCCTAGTTTGATTAATGTTGATACGAAGGAATTAATCCATAGCCCCAAGGGTCAAGGAACGTGATGTAAAAGACAAAGGTGGCTATGATGCTTCGACACACACCAAAGAATCAACAAATATTATTATGGCAATTCCAACTTCACCCAATTTCTCAAGAAAAGAATATATATGGAAATTTCATGCACAATTCAAGATGTGGGTCCACCCATGAGTAACTTCACACAACTTCTTCTCTTCCATCACCTTCCAAACATTTGTGTGTCATTTTTAACTTCTACTATATAAATCCCCATCTCTCTTCATATATTGTTGCCTTATTAGAACCCTAAAACACCAAACCCTAATTCAAAAGAAAGTATTTTTATTGAGCAAAATCATCAATGGGACATGCAAGTGGAAGCAACTACTCCTACTCCATGGCTGAGGCACCAAGTGAAAGTTTCAAAAACTCTCCCTCTCCCATTCCCTACCTCTTTGGTGGCCTTGCTCTCATGCTTGCACTCATAGGGTTGGCATTGCTCATCCTAGCTTGTTCTTATAGTAAAAGCTCCTCATCCAATGGCAGTGGAGAGAGAGCAAAGAAAGGAATGGGAATGGAGGTGGATTCAGAGCCCAAGATTGTTGTTATAATGGCTGGAGAAAGCAACCCCACATACATGGCCAAGCCAGTACCATCCACTCATCGTACTGAACAACCCAATTGATTGATTGAAGGTATCACATGATTTGACTCATCATCCAACTCATGGAGAGAAAATAAAAGAATAGAGAAAAAAAACAGAAGGAAAAATCTTCTTCCCCCTCTTGATGTTTCTTGTTCATCTGTTTTCCTTTGTTCATTGGCATTTATGTAAATACATTTTTGTACAATTCTTTAATCATAAGTTATAGCCATTTATAGTACATTTTTCCGTTTTAATATATAAAATTAGTATAGAGATTTTCATCATGTCAATTGATTAAATATCATTTAAAAATTGATAAATATAATCTATATATATAATTATAATTTTGTGTGATCTCACTCTCTTTTTAATACTTTTTCATCGAAATTTTTTAGTTTTTAATAAATTTTAATTAATAATATAAAGTAAATAAAAGAGTATTTAACCGTGGACTTTAACATAAATATTATAAAACCAATACTCTTGTATATATATATATATATATATATATATATATATATATATATATATATATATAAATGTTGTAAAAGAAATGATGAATGTGATAAATTTATCAATATTAGAGATGCGATAATATTATAATATATAAGTGATTATAATTTTTAACGAAATAATTTTATAAAATTAAATTAAGTATATAACTATTTCTAATATCATCTTATAATTGAAAATATGAAATTCTTAATAAATCTTATATGAATTAGTGTTAGGAATTCAAGTGTGATCTTAAGTTGCACATTATATAAAAGTGAGAAAGTTGAACAACATATAAAGAAATATAACTTATAACCTAATGTTTTAAGGTTTTAAGTTAAGAATAATGTCAATCCTTATATAGGTTAGACTCATGTGTCATTGATATTGTTTCTCCTCTCTCATTCCTCATCAAAAAGACTCAATTAGAGTGAGAACATCATCATTCTCATAAATTAATTAAGTATCTCATTTTTAATGTATGAGTTAAATTCTTAAAGTACTATTTTATGACATAATTTTGCTTAGAATTATTATTTAAAACATTACACTTACAAATTTTGGACAAGAAGAAACAAAGATAGATTAAACAAGTGTAGAAGAGGTTGGTTCTAAGCAAGAAACAAAGTTGGATTCCTCGATGGCTAAGTAGATATCAAAATTAAGAGGAGATTTTGGTGTTTGATTCCTAATTCAACATCTGAAAGAAGAGACTTTTGAGTCAAATTAATAGGATCAGATAATGGCTTCACCATAAGAAGCCAAAACAAATTCACATTCCAAACTCACACTCATGGTTAATAAATTCATATCCATAGCATATTCTGCAGGTTCAGTAGATCATCTGTAGACATATTTTTACTTAGTTTACACCTATTGTTTATTTATATTTTTATGTTAAATTTTTATAAATTAATCAGATTGAGCTAAAAATAATGTTTCAAATTAAATCAAACAAAAAATTAATGTAAGATGCAGATTTTGTAGATGAAAGAATATTTACGATTTGATTTTACCTTTTGTTAATAATCATTCTAATGTAAGAATTAATACAATTTACTTTATTTCGATTTTAATTTAACATAAGATTTGAGTTATTAAATTGAATCAGTATTTTTCATTTCAGTCTAGATCATTTTTGTAATTTTTATTATTATACAATTATTAAATATTTTATAATAAAAATTGTTAAATGAAAGATTAGTTATGATTTCTTTTATATATTTATTGTTAAACTATAATCTTAGCTTCTCTTATATTTATATATAAATTACATGATTTTATAATTAAAAATTATAATATAATTTTTGTATATTTTTTTATAAATATAAATATATTATAAATAAAAGACAATATTAAACTATAAAATACATTTTAAAAAATAGCTAGCTAATAATTAAATTTAAATACGATTTTAGTTCAATATTTAATCTAAAATTCAAATAAAACTATTCGATTTTATCAAATTTTAATTCGTGAATCGATTTTGAATTACTTTTTTAGATTATTTTGGTTTTAAAAACCTTTATACTCCTTCGAATTGAAAAAATAAAAAAAGAGTACAAACAATAATAATCATTAATAATAAATTAAATATTGAGAGTATAATTAATTGTTTAGATTCTTATATACATATTTTTGTAATAAATTGCTCTTAATACAAACCTTCTATTTTGTTTTAGATTAATGACTCAAATGTCTCTCGTGCTAACACACAAAGATTTGGATTTAATCATCCCTATAGAAAAATAATTGACAATGATTATTAAATCCAATAAATGGTGCATAAATACGAAAGTAATTCAACATCTCTATCAGAACAAGTGGAGAGGGAATTGGCGAGTCATGGTCTAAAAAATAATTTTTTACAAAAATATGTCATGTCTCTTTAAAATTATATAAGACTAAGTTCGCCTTTTTATGATTTTAATAATTAGTATTTGAGGTGTTTCATGATAAGATAAATAGGAGAAAATTTAAAGAAATATAATTCCAAATATTATTTAATTGTGAAGGTTTATTTATTATGTATTTAAAAAAAGAGAATGCAATAAAATAATAAATAGATAAAAATAATAAATTAAGTTGCACATTAAATTTAAATAAATACATTATGCAAAAATTTAAAGAAGATGAAAATTGGTGAAATGAAAAGATAAAAAAAAAAAGGGAAAATAAGGATCGTCATGAATCATACTATTTATGGAATCAACCAATCTAAAATAAGTGATAATTGTGATTTTGACTCAAGAAGATAAGACATATATGAAGCAAGAACGCTACAAGCATAAGGTTAAAAAGAAATTTTATATTATTTCCAAAAATAAGCTAAAAGTTAAAATAAGAGGGAGAAACTCTCTTTAAAAAAAAAAATACTAATCTCCTTTAATCATACCAATACATGGGTTATGTGTCTCTAGCCCAACTCCAAAAGTTCCCTTATCCATTTATTAAAGAAAATATCTCCCTAAATGAAAAGAGAGGTGTCAAAAATAAACCTGCAAAATAAAAATTAAAATATTATTCCAACAAAACTTAATAAATAAACACAATGAAAAAAAAAAGAAAGAAAGAAAGAATGTGTCATTTTTAGTCATGTTTTTAATTATCCTTTTAAGACACTCTTCTCCATACTTACTAGGTATTATGACTTATCATCTAAGGTTGTTTCTTCTTTCACCTTCATATTTATAAGAATAACAATAGTTTTCCTAATGTAAATATGTTATGGAAAAATCATTCTAAGAATAAGTTTTAAATTGTGTTTTCTGGAATGCATTTCTAAATTGTATTTTTCAAACATATATTTCAAAAAATTGATATTAAACATTTTTTAAATTTTTTCTAAAAACATAACCAAAAAATAAGTTTTAAATTGTATTTTTTAGAACACATTTTTAGATTATATTTTCCAAAAATCATTTTTAAATCATATTTTTCATAAATATATCATGGATTTAACAATATGAAACACCACAAATACAAATAAAAGGTATTTTTTTCAAGATTTTTTAATGTACAACATGTTAAATTATTCAAAGTAAAAATAACAACAAATTTCTAAATCTAAAAATGAAAATAATGCTTGAATAAAGGTACAAACAGTAATAATATAAAAGTATAACATGAGAAAAAATAACCTTTTGAAAAAGTTAAGCACTTTATTTCTTCTTACAAATGTTACGATATTTTCTTTATTCACACAAATTTTCACTTTGTGTTGACCTTCACTACAACATGTCAAGATAAGTATTTGCTTTACTTGATCCAATGTACTCCAAATCCATTCTTCATATATGAAGTATAAAATTCTCTAACCCATTTTATAGATTCAAACTCTATCCAATAGAAATTTCCATATTAAATTCTTCACCTACATTTACCCTAAAAAAAAAATGGTTAGTTCATTATAAATACGTGAAAGTGAATTATTACTTTTAGTCTTTAGTTTATTAAGTATACAAATTTACTCATTTTTTTTCTCTGTTCATCATTTTCTCTTTATCTGTTCATCCATTTTTATGATTTGAATTAAACATATGATAATTACTTTAAAAAAATTATAAAATTTTACCAAATAAAAAATATAATATAATTTTTATTTTAGGTATTTAAATTTTTTAATAAAAAATATAAAAATTTTATAAATTTTGAAATTATCTATATGTATTTATTATTATATAAATTTTATCTTAATTTTATTATTTTAAATTATATATTTTTTAAAATAACATGTCAATTTATATTATTAACTTAATATATAATATATATATATATATATATATATATATATATATTAAATTATTAATAAATAAATAATAATTTTTTTATATAAAATTATGATGAATGAGTCCGCGGTCTATTAATCTATCTTTAGTAAGTAATCTACTATCTATAGTCCACCCAATCCTATTAATAATGGATCAAAATCGGAAGAAGCTAAAACGGACGGAACACATTTTTTTTTTCGCATATGGGCCATATCAGGAAGCGGGCTAAATCTGGGCCTATTTAATCTATCCATGTAATCTCATCACACGTAATACGGTTGTAGATAAGATCAAAATCACGTGCAAATAAAGTTGTTTTTTTTGTGTGTTTTAAAATAGGAAAATGTTATTTTAACACTATTATTTCTATAAAATTTAATATACAATTTATTATAATATAATAATAATAATTTTAAATTATTTTTGTTTTTATTAATTTTCTTTTATTATTCAATGTGAGTTGTACGAGGAAATATTTAGGTTTTTCAGTATCAAAATATCACTGCCTCTTTAAAAATATTAAGTTTAGATACGTATCGTATTAAATGTTTAAAATATGATGTATTTTTAAAAGTAAAATATTATTCTTAGATAAATTAATATATGAGTTAAGATAAAAAATTAATTTATGAATATTTTATTTTCTTCTATAAAAAATCACTTTTAATAACTTTTTTAATATAATAAAATTAATTAATATATTCTTGAACTTTTTATAAATCATATAGACAATTTAAAAAATAATAATTAAAACATAATAAATAAAATTCAAAATTTATTTTTATTTGTACTAAAAAATTGCAATAAAGAAGTTGCACCGCCATTTTGGTACGTGGGAGACACGCGTGAAGCATAATAATTTCTATAATAAAAATTTCACCGCCACATTAATAATGTATAAAACTAATTTCACTGTCTATTCGGTTCTTTTAAAATTAAAAGAAATAAAATTTGTTTAATTAGTTTTATTTTTCTTCCCAAAATTATTTTAAAATGAAAAAAGAATCAAACTAATGTTGATCAAATATTCTGTTTTGCATATATTTATTATTTTATATGATTCTAAAATGGTTTAATTAATTAAAACATCATGATAATTGGTTAAAATATTCAAAATAAAAAAAATCGAGGATATTGCAATAAAAAAATTACAAAAAATCGTCTACACGTCTTTTACACGTGGCACGTTGAATTCAATTCCTTAAACATATGAACATCATTTGAGTCAAATTATTATTGCAAGTTACGCGTACGTAACTTTTTGTTAATTAATTTACAATTAATTTTATTTCTCGCTATATCTATGGAAAAATATAAAAATCAACATTTATAACGAACCATAAAATATAAAATATATATATATGTTTTTATAAATAAAAATAAAATATTATTAGAGAAAAACAATATAATAATCATGGACAAAAATATGTTTAAATTATTAAAATTATTATACGAGTGTAGGTAAAAGTTGGTTAAAAGTAAATTCACAGAACCTTTTCATTCTTCTACGTCCGTGTGTGTAAATTCAATTGACAGAGAATATTAGTTTTCCAATTTTCTCAGTTTCACAGAAAAAGGTTCAGAGCATTCAAAGTGATAGTTATGCAATTGGCAAACCCTTGTCTATGGGTGCTCCCTGATTTACAATGTTCTTTCAATGAAATATTGTAGTATCAATTCTTATCATTCCACTTTATTACAAAATGACTTTAACTTTTCATCGTGTCAAAATTTTATTACAAATAAATAAAATCATACAAGTAATTGAGAAGGAAATAGTTATTACAAATATCTTTCATGTGTTTCCTTTTCAATTGTTGTTAAGTTAACTTGAACAGATTGCATTCGTATCCATCCGAAAGGTCAAAAAGCTTGTTTACTCAGTTATTCACTTATTTAAGTATTGCAAATTTTTATATCTTTCTTCTACATTGGAACACTTCGTAGAATAGCTTGTATTGAGACTTATTATTTCAATTTTGTTTAATACTCATAAATATAATGAAAATATAATAAAATGTTTATTTCTAATATAGTATTAAAATTTATTTCATCTTAATTTATTGATATTGATCAATCACCCTCTATTATGTAATCTAGTCTTATATTTAAAATATTCCGTCTCAAATATCTATTATATTGAATCAACCTTATTTTAAAAACTAGATTTATATGACTTTTAATTTTTATTTTCACATCTAAAACGTCATTACTAGAGTTCAAACATCAAATTTAACACATGTTTAATTTTTTTTTTAAGTTTAATAACTATGTTATTTTAGTTTTTCAAATTTTAATTATTTCAAATGAGTCTCTTACCATCACGATAATTGGATTTTAGTTCTATAAATTTTAATATTATTAAATCTCTATACAGCAATTCTACAATCTCCAACATTCATTTATAAAATACATAAGAGAATAAGGTGGAACCCGAATAAATAAAGATCTGAGTTTAATTATTAGCATTTTTCGATGGAGATACTTTCTTCTGTTTGGTAACCCACTTGGAACGAGAACATACTTTGTGAACAGAAAGAACGCAGAAGTCGACAAAAAATAACCGACATAAAATTATGCGTGACGATCCAGGACGACAAAACATAGATCAATCATCACTTTTATTCGACATAATAATAATAATAATAATAATAAAACAAATCTATATTCTCGTTCTTCTAAAATTAATTAACCACCTTCCTCGTAACATCCTCGTCCCTTAAAAAAATCATCATAACTTAAAAACGTAACTGATATCCAAAAGAGCCTAGATTTCTTGTGAAACATCTTTCATTTCATAATGGAAAAATGAGTCATCTTTCTCTTGATTGCTAAGAAATATCTCTGCATAACGCGTAGATACAGTTTTTTAATCCTTCTATATAAAGATATGTAGCTACCCTTGGTCATCATGCATGGTATTTTGACACCTTGAGTATCAAAAAGTTTAGTTGTTCTAACATCTTTGAACCCCTCAATAATTCGCATACATTATACGAGGTAGAGAATATAGCTGTTCTCTCTTTTGTGATCCTACACATATTGTGTTACAGATTGTTTCGTTCTTTCTATTCATTGCCTTCTCCATATAACAGCTTTCTGTTTCTTCTCTTCTTTACTATTGTTTTGTTTTGGTGAAGTTTATTCTTTCTGTTGAATAAGATTGTCACCTTGTTCTCGAAACCATATGTCAATGCCCTTTCTTACAAACTTGAACCGCATTGAGATGCTTCTCAATGCATCAAACACTGTTAGCGCACCCAATAAAAGATGGCACTCTGCATTCATGGCCATCTATTGCTCCCGAGCTATCATGTCTCTCTCCACTCTCAACAAAACTAACAAAATCAAAGCAAAAGTCTCACCTAAACCAACACCAACACCATCCTTCGTCATGGTTGATTTGAACCCTCACCATTCCTTTGGTATCGACCAAACAGCCCTCACGGAAATTGTCAAAGAAAAAGACCTTCAGATCCTTCATAAATTTGGTGGGGTTGAAGGGGTGGCAAAAGCTCTTGAAACCCACGTTGAGTATGGTATCAAAGGTGGTGATGATGACGGTGAAGACGTCACACGTAGAAGACAAGTGTTTGGTTCCAACACTTACCACAAACCACCTTCCAAAGGGTTCTTCCACTTTGTTGTGGAAGCCTTCAAGGATGTCACTATTCTAATCCTTTTGGCTTGTGCTGTTCTTTCTCTTGGCTTTGGCATCAAGGAACATGGAATCAAAGAAGGCTGGTACGATGGTGGAAGCATCTTTGTTGCGGTGTTCATTGTCATTTCCTTGTCAGCAGTGAGCAATTTCAGACAGAACAGACAGTTTGACAAGCTGTCTCAGGTGAGCAACGACATACAAATTGATGTAGTGAGAAGCGGGAGGCGTCAACATGTGTCAATCTTTAACATAGTGGTTGGTGATGTCATTTGCTTGAAGATTGGGGATCAAGTGCCAGCAGATGGGTTGTTCATAGAGGGGCATTCACTTAGAGTGGATGAATCAAGCATGACAGGAGAGAGTGATCATGTTGAGATTAGTAGACAGGACCATCCTTTCTTGTTCTCAGGCACGAAGGTGGCTGATGGGTATGCTAAGATGCTTGTTACCTCAGTTGGTATGAACACAACATGGGGCCAAATGATGAGTTCAATAAGCCGAGATATTGATGAACAAACTCCTCTGCAAGAGAGGCTAAACAAGCTTACATCGTCCATTGGAAAGGCTGGTTTGGCTGTAGCTTTTCTCGTCCTTGTTGTTTTGCTGGTTAGATACTTCACAGGGAACACAAAGGATGAGAATGGGGTCAGAGAGTTCAATGGAAGCAAGACCAAGTTTGATGATATAATGAATGCTGTCGTGGGAATTGTTGCTGATGCAGTTACCATTGTTGTTGTTGCAATCCCTGAAGGTCTTCCATTGGCTGTGACTCTCACTCTGGCTTATTCAATGAAGAAAATGATGGCTGACCAAGCAATGGTGAGAAAGCTCTCAGCATGTGAGACAATGGGTTCTGCCACCACAATTTGTACAGATAAGACTGGCACTCTCACACTCAATGAGATGAAAGTGACCAAATTCTGGCTAGGCCTAGAACCTGTGGCAGAAACTGAAAATGCCTACTCAAAGATTGCTCCATTTGTTCTTCAACTTATCCAAGAAGGGGTGGCTCTAAACACAACTGGTAGTGTGCAAAAGTCCAATAAATCAGGTTCTGAATTTGAGTTTTCAGGTAGTCCCACAGAAAAAGCCATTCTATCTTGGGCAGTTTTGGAATTGAACATGAAGATGGAACACTTGACAAGAAGCTGTTCTATCATTTTTGTTGAGACCTTCAACTCAAAGAAGAAAAGAAGTGGAGTTTTGCTGAGAAGGAAGACAGACAACACAGTTAATGCTCATTGGAAAGGAGCAGCCGAGATGGTATTAAAGATGTGCTCAAGATACTATGATGCTTCTGGCATTGTGAAAGATCTTGACAATGATAGCATGTTGAAGTTTGAACACATCATTCAAGGTATGGCAGCTAGTAGTCTTCGTTGCATTGCTTTTGCACATGCAGAAGTAGCTGAGGAAGAGCTTGGAGATGAAGAAGGAAACAAAATGGTGAAAGTGAAAGACAATGGTTTAACTTTGTTAGGGCTTGTTGGGATTAAGGATCCATGTCGTCCAGGGGTGCAGAAAGCTGTGGAAACTTGCCAAAAGGCTGGGGTGAATGTCAAAATGGTCACAGGTGACAATATATTCACGGCAAAAGCTATAGCAACCGAATGTGGCATACTCCGGCCAAATCAGGACACAGCTGGAGCAGTTATTGAAGGAGAGGAATTTCGCAACTACACACTTGAAGAGAGGTTGGAGAAGGTTGACAAAATCTGTGTGATGGCTAGATCTTCTCCTTTTGACAAACTTCTAATGGTTCAATGTCTGAAGCAGAAAGGCCATGTAGTGGCTGTCACTGGGGATGGCACAAATGATGCACCAGCACTCAAAGAAGCAGACATTGGACTCTCTATGGGAATTCAAGGTACTGAAGTTGCCAAAGAGAGCTCAGACATTGTTATATTGGATGACAATTTTGCATCCGTCGTCACTGTCTTAAGGTGGGGAAGGTGTGTTTACAACAACATCCAGAAGTTCATTCAGTTTCAATTAACAGTGAATGTTGCAGCACTTGCTATCAACTTTGTGGCAGCAGTGTCAGCTGGGGAAGTGCCACTCACAGCAGTACAATTGTTATGGGTGAATTTAATCATGGACACATTAGGTGCTTTGGCACTTGCAACAGAAAAGCCTACCAATGAATTGATGGACAGACCACCAGTTGGTAGAACAGAGCCTCTCATCACCAATGTCATGTGGAGGAATCTATTGGCTCAAGCTTTGTACCAGATAGTAGTTTTGTTGACTCTTCAATTCAGAGGTGAGTCTATCTTTGGTGTGACATCAGGGGTAAATGACACATTGATTTTCAACACATTTGTTCTCTGCCAAGTGTTCAATGAGTTCAATGCAAGGAAGATGGAGAAGAGGAATGTCTTCAAAGGCATACACAGGAACAAGCTTTTTTTAGGCATTATTGGCATAACAATAATCCTTCAGGTGGTGATGGTTGAGTTTCTCAAGAAATTTGCTGACACAGAGAGGCTAAGTTGGGGGCAATGGGCTATCTGCATTGGTCTAGCTGCAGTTTCCTGGCCAATTGGTTGGGTTGTGAAGTTGATACCTGTCCCAGAGAAACCATTGCTCAATTTTTTGCAGATGAAGAAATGAAGACAGCCATGTAGGGTGGTGTCTTGTATGATCATTCTATTTGTATAATTCCTATTTTTATCATGTGGACATATTGTATGACACATTCTTTAAATTTTTTTATCATATTTATTGTAATTACATATGTGAATAATTCAATATACACATAGTGAGTATTGCTTTACTTACATAAAAGAAAAATGCTCTCTAGCTTTCTATACACATAATTCTTGAAGTGTCATTTTCATTTTGCTCATCAGCCATGTAGACACACTCCAACATTATATACATATTTTGTTTACGTCAGTTTTGTTCTACATGTCTTTGAGTTGGTAATAGAACTATTAAAATTCTTAAATTGGTCACAGAAATCACATGGAGCTAGAGGTTGAAGCAACAAACAACTGCAACCATCAGATGCTTATGATCACGTGGTTGAGAGAAAAGAGGAATATAATAAAGATTTTGCAAGCTACCTCAACTAGTAATAATTCTTAATTCAATTGCATAGCACAACCGAAAGACATTTTGCCTTTCTCCCTTTTGGTGTGCCAGTGTTTAGAAAACTAGAAACTGCTGGAGTTTGGCAGGATATATTGTTGGTTTACTGAAGGGGAACAAACACACGGAAGGTTTATATATATATTGTTTGGAGTCACTAACTATAAGGTATTATAGTTAGTGACTCCAAAAAGTGAAGCGTTTGTTAGTCACCTCTTCCTCTATTTTTGGCTAGAGAAACTGCTACTTTCTGCACATGAACAATTTTAAACAGAACTTTGGGGGTGCATGTTATTTGGTAAAACAGAAGAAAAATACAAATAACAACAAAATTCTTCCCACTGGGTGAGGTGAGGTCGGTTACATATCTCAGACAAATTTATAAATATACCAAAAGAATTTATAAATATATCAAAAGAATGAACTAGAAAAAAATATTGAAGTTAATAATGAAACTTGATAATTGAGATGGTAAAAATTGAGATTAATGGTAAAAATCGATATTTGTTAAAGATTAGGGATGAAAATCAAGATTGATAATAAAAATTGAGATCGAGATGATAAAGATTCATAGGATAAAAATTGAGATCGAGAATGTAAACGATCAAAAGGGTAAAAATTGAGATTGACGGGGTGAAAATCAAGACTGAAATGTTGAAGATTAGGAGTGACCGAAAATTAAGAATGTAAGTCATCAAGGAGTCAATCGATGGATATATAAGAAATTCAGATCAAAGAAAGCTAGTGATGGAAAGTACAAATCAAAAATAAATTAATTAAGACTTTAAAGTAATCAATAGTAAAATCGAGACAAAAGTAAGATGATTAAGGAGGATCGAAAATCAAACAATCGAAACATTAATATAGTTGGATGAGAAATTGAGAAACACATTGGCAGAAATTGATAATATTTTCAAATATAAATCAAAGACTTATAAAAATCAAGAAAAAACTAGAGAAATATCGAAAAGAACTTATTGAGATATATGAATTTAGAGAAATCGAGAAAGAAATATATTTATCGAGAAAAGGATAATAGAGAAAAATAGAAGAAAGTTATATAATCAAGATGCATACAGAATAAGTTATAACTCACTTTGTGACATGAATTGTTATAAGTGTTATGTGACAATGTAACTGTTCAAGAAAGTAGAGAAAAATGAAATTGTTTTATATTTTATTTTATTCTCTTAACGGTTACATAAAATAAAGTATAAATAAGATAAAATAAATACAATAAAATGTGACAAATTGATGAAAGACACTTGCATTCTCAAAAAGGTTATGAACAAGCAAAAATTATTTTAATGAAGTTTTTGACAATTTAAATCATCATTTTTATTGAATTTTTTATCAATTTCTATTTTATTTTTAATAACGAGTTATATTCACTTTTCTTATAATTTATTTATAATTTATTGGTCTTCCACACATATGTTTATTTTCTTCACATTTTTTTTTCACATTTTAATGTTTAAATTTATGTTAAAAATTAAATTAACATATGAAAGATCCCAAATTGAAGTTGAGATTGTATTAATCCTTGAGTGGAAAAACAAACATGGGGAAGAATATGATGTTTTGAAAATAGTAAGACATTTTCTTAGTGCTTATATTAGGCACTTTTTAGATTTGAAATCATGAATATTTTGGACTTTTGACCTCCCCACCAAGAAGCATCTGGCCAAGCATAACAAGGAATCTTCCTCAATCCCAAAAGGGTACTTCTGTAAATGAAAAATGTTCAAGTTATAGTATAAATTCTAGTACCACCACCTCACTGAAATTGCACCATTAATTCTACATACCCTTAGAGATAGATTGATGCAGGATGAGGCCAATGAGTAGTTCATCATCATCAGGCAGTGAGATTAGGAATTGGAGGTCTCCAACTCCTTACCTCTTTGAATGCTTATCTGTATTCCTGATTATAATTTCTCTGGCATTGGTGATCCTTATTTGCTCTAAAAGAAAACATGTTTCTCATTCATCAGCTGAAGCTGAAGAAATGAAACAAGCAATACCCCAGAACATGGAAGGTGACCCTTTCCCAAGGATACTTGTGATCATGGCAGGGGATGACAAACCCACATACCTTGGTATATCAATCACTTCTTCAACTCCTTGTACCTGTGCAGTGAACAAAGCTAGTCAATTGACTTGCTAGACACTGCAACTGTTACCACAAAATGCTTCTTCCTTTTCATATCAGGTTCCTGGAGTATGTAAATTGATTCTGTCTTATTCATTTATTTTGCTACTTGTTCTGTGTTTAGATTTTGTGCATGCTTCCACTATTAAGTTGCATGCATCGAGGTGCCGGTAAAAAAGTATTCCAATAAATATATCATAATTATTATAACATAGAAAAAAAATATTTAATGGAAAATCTTACACTTCAGTAATGATCCAAACATATAAAAATATTGTAAGAGATATGTTTAAAATAATGTCAACAAAATCTCTCATAATAATGAAATTACATAATATTATACTTCCACCAAATACATCTAAAGGTCTTAACTACTTAACATCAATTTTATCTTAGTCAAAAAGAAGATATAACTAAAAGAATATTATCCAGATATAAAACAAGAATTATAAAAATTATAATCCAATATCCAAATGAATAATCTAAACTTTTCACGTTTAAATAATTAATTGTTCAAGCTATTCTATTAAGATGGCTGTGATAAATTACTTAATAATTGATATTCATAACAATTTAGTTTTATACTAGTTGATACATGTGCAGAAGTGTTTATATATCATCACTCTGTTTATTAAAAATCAATTCCTCTTGCTTCAAGCTTATAAATACTATGAAAAATTATGCAGAATCCGCAAAGAAGCAAGAAAACAGTTGAGAAAACAAAAGTGAACCCATCAAGATGGACAAACAATGAAATTGAAGTTCACCACATTGCATTGAAATTGTGTAAGCTTTTTCTCAGCACACAGGCCTGAGCAGAAACATTACATTTATTCATTGATCAATTCTGAATAGCATTAATCTAAACCCTTGACTGATTGGCAATCTTGAACCACTCAGTGTGGAAAGATCCCTCCATGTCAATCCTTTCATATGTATGAGCACCAAAGTAGTCTCTCTGAGCCTGAACCAAATTTGCTGGCACCCTTTCCCTTCTGTATGTGTCAAAATAAGCGAGACTAGCAGCCATGCCTGGGGTGCTAATACCATAGTTGATAGCTAGACAAACCACTCTCCTCCATGCAGATTGTCTATCCACTATTTCCTTGGCAAATTCTGGATCCACAAGAAGGTTTGCAAGGTTAGGATTTCTATCATATGCTTTCTTGATTCTGTCCAAAAATATGGCTCTTATAATGCAACCCCCTTTCCAAATCCTTGCAAGTTCCCCCAACTTCAGGTCCCAACCCTTCTCGATGCTCTTTGCCCTGATCAGATTCATTCCCTGTGCATAACTACAGATTTTTGCACCATAAAGAGCCTTCCTAACATCATCAACGAGCTTCTTCTTGTCAACAGGTTGGTGTTGGTGTTGGTCATTCAAGATGCCATCTAAGCCACTGGACTTGAACACCTTTGCAGCTTCAACTCTCTCCTCTTTCAATCCACTGAGGAACCTTGCATCTAAAGAAGCCTCTATTGTGGGAGCAGCAATTGATAACTCAGCAGCTTGTTGCACAGTCCATTTGCCAGTACCCTTCATGCCCGTTTTGTCCAAAACCTTGTCAACCAAATACCCTTCTCCTTTGTCATCCTTGATTCCAAATATGTCCGCTGTGATCTCTATGAGGAAACTCAGGAGTTCCCCTTTGTTCCACTCTGAGAATACACTTTGTAGCTCCTCATTTGACAACTTCCCAGCTGACTTCAGCACATCATAGGCCTCAGCAATGAGTTGCATGTCACCATACTCAATTCCATTGTGGATCATTTTCACAAAGTTTCCTGATCCACCTTGGCCAATGTAAGTCACACAAGGACCACTATCAGGCACTTGAGCTGCCACCTTGAGCAGAATGTCTTCTATGTATTTATAAGCCTCAAATGAACCACCGGGCATCAAAGAGGGACCATGTCTTGCACCCTCCTCACCACCTGAAACTCCCATCCCAAGGTAGAGTAGACCCAATTCAGACATAGCTTTCTCTCTTCTCTCTGTGTTTTCATACCACTCGTTGCCACCGTCAATGATGCAATCACCCTTTTCCAAGTATGCAGAGAGGCTCTTGATGGTTTGGTCCACAGGTGCCCCAGCCTTAACAAGCATTATTATAACCCTTGGTTTCTGAATGGATTGGACAAATGACTTGGGATCATGGTAACCATACACTGGAAGGTTTCCTTCTTGTTGTGCTCTTTCCACTGTTTCATCAACCTTGGATGTGGTCCTGTTGTAAACAGAAATGGGAAATCCCTTCTCAGCTATGTTCAGAGCAAGATTTTGGCCCATCACAGCCAGGCCAGCAAGGCCTATTCTTGTGAGGCTTTTAGGTTGAGCCATAACTAATTCCCTGCTCAATATTGGAAATTTCACATGAGAAAAGAATTATAAAGGTAAATAATAAGCACAAACATGAACTTCTAATTTGTTAAGGAAAACAAAATGTGTAGACTACAATCAAAGAGGACAAATAGAATTTGATTGGAGGCATCTACAACGTCTAAATTGTACACTTGGGGAAAGAGGAGTTTTTGAATTCAAAAACTCAGATGAAAAGAGGTAATATGGTTTAAACAAAGGGGATTATTATTCATATGTGTTGAAACTCTACACTCACTTATTACAAAGGGAAAACTTGAATATATAAGATCAAGCTATAACATTTTAAACAAAAATCAGAAAAACGGTTGGTATCCATGAAAACTAACAATAATAGAATACAAAAAAAGAATAGTAATCGAAAATAACAGAAAAAGATATATTGTATATCTCTATCATTCTCCCTCAAGCTGGGCATAAGCGTTATGAAGGCCAAGCTGGAAAGGTGCAGGATGAAGAGACTTGGTGAAGACATCTGCAAGTTGATGGGCTGAAGGAACGTGGAGAAGATGAATAAGACCATCAAGGAGTTTTTGTCGTATAAGATGACAATCTATTTCAAGGTGTTTAGTTCTCTCATGGAAAGTAGGATTTTTGGCTATTTGGATGGAAGAATTGTTATCACAAAAAGTAACATAAGGGTTGGAATGGAAAAATGCAGATCTTGGAAGATGTATTGGAGCCATTGGAGTTTACAAGTCAAAGAGGCTAGTGAACGGTATTCTGCTTCTGTTGAGGACCGTGAGACAGTGTTCTGTTTCTTGGATTTCCAGGAAATTAGAGATGCACCTAAGAAGATACAAAACCCAAAAACTGAACGACGGGTAATGGCACATGTGGTCCAATCTGAATCTGAAAAAGCTTGAACTTTAAGAGTGGTATTGAACTGATATAACAGACCATATCCTGGAGCATTTTTCAAATAACGAATAATTCTTAAAGCTTGTTGCATGTGATGTTCCCGTGGGGATGAATTGGCTAAGTTGTTGAACAACGAAACAAACGTCAGGCCTTGTGTGGGTCAAATATAAAAGTTTGCCAATGAGTTTGCGATAAGATGAGGGATCAGACACTAACACTCCATCATCATATAATTTGATGGCAGGATCAGTAGGTGTAGGTGCAGGTTTGCAACCAAGAAGACCTGCTTCAGATATAAGGTCCAAGCAATATTTGTGTTGATTTAAAATCAATCCATTTGGTGTTCGAACAACTTCCAGTCCCAGAAAGTATTTAAGAGGGTCATGGTCTTTGATATGATATTTAGCATGAAGATGGTTTTTAACCTTTTGAATTTCAGATAAGTCATTGCTAGTGAGTACAACATCATCAACATAAACTAGAAGAACTGTGATAGCAGAACCAGAGGACTTAACAAAGAGAGAGTAATCTGCAACACTTTGAGAGTAACCGAGAAAAAGAAGCTCAGAAGTAAGCTTGTTGTTCCAGTTTCTGTTGGCCTGTTTAAGTCCATAAAGAGACTTATTAAGCTTACAAACAAGCTTTGGATGAGGAAGAGATAGGCCAGGTGGAGGCTTCATGTAAATTTCTTCATCCAACTCACCGTGAAGAAAGGCATTATCAACATCTAATTGATGGATGAACCAATGAGAAGCAGTGGCTAGAGCAAAAACAATTCTGACGGTGGTAAGCTTTACAACAGGAGAAAAAGTTTTGAAATAGTCAATTTCTTCAGTTTGGGTAAACCCTTTGGCAACCAAAAGAGCTTTAAATCTATCAACCGAGCCATCTGCTTTATGTTTGATTCTATAAACCCATCTGCAACCAATAATATTTTTGCCAAAAGGAAGAGAAACTAATGTCCAAGTTTGGTTTCTATTGAGAGCATCTATTTCAGCAACCATTGCCTCTTTCCAAGAGTCACTTTGAGCGGCTTCTTTGTAGGAAGAAGGTTCATCTTGGGCAGATATGTTATGACAAAAAAAGACATGATTAGACGAACATTTATCATATGAAAGAAATTGAGATATAGGATATGGAGTTGAGAAAGGTGAGTGAACAGTGGAAACAGAACCACAGTAGTAACTATCTAAGTATTTGGGCTTGTTTTTAACACGATTTGAAGTCTTGTTAATAGGAACAAGTACTTAAGAAGTATCATTAGCTTGAATTTGAGAACCATCAAGAGCAAGTGTGCAATCTGTATTATTTTCAGTAACTGTGGTAGATGAAATTGGCAAAATAAAATCAAACAATTCATTGCTTTGAGAAGAAAAATCAGTATCAGAGGTAGAAGAATTAGAAGATAGTGAACGGGTAGAAAAGGGAAGTGTGGTTTCATGAAAAATGACATTACGAGAGACAACAATAGATTTTGAATGGATGTCATACAGAACATACCCTTTGGTACCAGGTTTGAAACCAATAAAAACACATTTTAGACTTCTTGAATCTAATTTATTTCTTCCCGCAGCAAGAGTACTAGCGTATGACAGGCAACCAAAAACTTTGAGGTTTGAAAAATCAGGTTTTACAGAATAGACAAGTTGATATGGTGATTTATTTTGCAAAAAAGGTGTGGGTAACCGATTGATGATATGCACAACAAGTTTAAGAGAATATGACCAGAATATGTTAGGCATTTGTGCTTGAAAGAGAAGAGCTCTACATACAT